CTGGAACAGAGTTGGGGGGGGGGGGAACACCCAGAACTCTCAGGTGGACAGGAACAGAGTTGGGCATTATGGCAGAAAAATCTCACTGTTGGAGCATTTAGGACATATAAGAAGTCGGGGGATGACTCAGCCCACCGTGCCCCATCTATAACTTTTGGGTGGACTGACGCTTAAATCACTACATAGAACAAAGACAAGGTGCCAACTGCAGCGACCAATCAGAATTCAGCTTCCAGAAGCCAGCTCAGCAAAATATACAGTAGATTCGAATTGGGTTGCTATGGGTTACTGCCAGCCCCTTGCCATACTGCCTAAGCTATGCCAGCAGCAGTGCTCGGAGATAATACGTGTGCCGTGGTTCCTTACCTATAATGTAGTAATCCCTGTGAGATTTGAACTCGTGGCCCCACAAGTTCGGACTGTACTCTTGGAACTTGATAGTGAAGCGAAGGTCTTGTCCCGGCCGGTCACAGGTAAGGAGGAGGTTCGGCGTCCGCAGGATAGAGCAGGTAACTACCTCATCCTCTGTGCTCACCAGATAAAGCTTATAGTATTCATAGGGAGATGAGGAGAAAGGTCCGCGAGGCTCGGAGCGCGGGCAAAGTAAATCCAATCGGTCCCCAATTTGTGGATATAAGACATAACCCTCCGCATCCTGAAACCTGGAAGAAAACAGAAGAGGGTTACTGAAAGCAGAAATGTCAAATGTAATAAACTACAGAGATACCATTGAGAACCCGTCCATTCACCAGAGACCAGTGACATCACTGACACTTCATATTCATGAGAACGCAGCCCGTCCATTCACTAGAGACCAGTGACATCACAAACACTTCATATTCATCAGAACACAGCCCGTCCATTCACTAGAGACCAGTGACATCACCGACACTTCATATTCATGAGAACACAGCCCGTCCATTCACTAGAGACCAGTGACATCACCGACACTTCATATTCATGAGAACACAGCCCGTCCATTCACTAGAGACTAGTGACATCACCGACACTTCATATACATGAGAACATGGCCCGTCCATTCACTGGAGACCAGTGACATCACCGACACTTCATATACATGAGAACATGGCCCGTCCATTCACTAGAGACCAGTGACATCACTGACACTTCATATACATGAGAACACAGCCCGTCCATTCACTAGAGACCTGTGTGATTTTCTTTTACTTTCATTGATAATGGTCACCAGGACAAGTAGAGAGGGTGAATCTCCCTAACGGGGACACAGACAGCAGTAAAAAGCTGACAGGTGTCCCAATTCCTTCTCCAATCTATTCAAAACTGAACAAGTTTCGGCTTCAGTTGCACTTTATTGAGCAGGACTAGACCAAAATGTAGCGGGGAAATAAATCAAATTGCTATGGATGGGACAGCAGCTAAAAGCAAACCTCAAACCAACCACACACCTGTTAAAGAAACAAGAGCCCCCTATAATAAACATAACCCAATAACAGAAGGCAGTAAAGGGGTGGTTGCCCACAGAGCTAGCAATCAAACTTGTTGAAGTCCTAAAAAAAGAACTTTAGGGTTAAATGAAAAAAGTATATTCACAGTTTTCTAAGTGACCCGCATATCTCCCTCCGGAGTTTGTCATCTCTCCCTATCAATGTACTGACAGTACGGCTGCTCCAAGCCCCTCTTTTTAAACCGAGGGGGCCGGCTTATCCAAAAGCCCTCTTATTGGCCCTTCTAAGCATGCTGGCCATGGATCGAAGGCCATGGAAAGCCCTGAAAATGTGTCCTGGTGGATGTAGACAAAAATTGACTGGGAAAGAGAATTTCGGACTAACAGGGTGGGCTGCAGCCTTGGGTTCGGGGCCACTTATGGACCAATGGGAAACAGAGACTGCGACGAAACATGGCTGCGCAACAAATATAAACAGTCTGGTGACTAGCGACATATTTCTTTTTCTGATGACTACAATGGCCCCATCCATTGCTTAAGCTGGCCATACACTGCTCAAAATGTAACCAGTGCTGAGACAAGTCAATCTTTCAAGGGCAGCCAATCAGCTGCAGTCACTGGTTTGGGTATTCTGACAGCGGCGCACCCACCAGTGGTAGAATGCAATAGCCTATAGGGGCTGAATGAGAAAAAACTGTACGCGTATGCTCAGCCTTAGTCACCTTAGCACCCATATTGGTGTATATGCATTGCCTGAAGCACGATCCGATTTAGATTGCTAGCTTTTCTGCCTGAAAGTGTCCCAATAAAAGTGCAGAAAAAGATACAAAGCTGCCTTCATAGACTATTACTGGGATGCACAGTCATTTTGTAAATGGTTTCTATATGTTTAAAGATCGGGACTAAAAAATTTTGTTTTGTTTTAGGCAGGTAAATAATTCCATTTAGTTATTTTGCATTCTCATTTCTTGTCACCAGATGGAGCTCTTGATTACTTTTACATTTTCCAGTTTCAATTTGTGTCCTAATGTAAAGAGAAAGCGGAAATGTACACCCAAAAACTCAGGAGTCTGAGCAGTCATTCCTCTCCCTCCATATGACTCTGTGGGGGCAATAATCAGAGGCAGCCTGTCTGAAAGGCGTCTACTGCTGTAATGACGGGTTCTCTTGTCAGCTAACCCTTTATCCTCTAGGAATCCTTTTTCATGTGTTCAATGTTTATTTGTAAAATACGTTATATACACACTCACACAGATTTATATATAGAGAGAGAGAGGGAGAGAGAGAGAGAAAGTGTGAGAGAGAGAGAGAGGGAGAGACAGAGAGAGATAAATAAAGTGAGAGAGAGGGAGGGAGAGAGAGAGGGGGGAGAAAGTGAGAGAGAGAGAAAGAGTGAGTGTGAGAGATGAGAGAGAGAGTGTGTGTGAGAGAGAGAGAGAAAGTGTGTGTGTGAGAGAGAGAGAGAGGAGAGGGAGAGACAGAGAGAGAGAAATAAAGTGAGAGAGAGGGAGGGAGAGAGAGAGAGGGGGGAGAAAGTGAGAGAGAGAGAAAGTGTGTGTTTGAGAGAGAGAGAAAGTGTGTGTTTGAGAGAGAGAGAAAGTGACAGAGAGAGAGAGTGAGTGTGAGAAATGAGAGAGAGAGTGTGTGTGAGAGAGAGAGAGAAAGTGTGTGTGTGAGAGAGAGAGAGTGTGTGTGTGAGAGAGAAAGTGTGTGTGAGAGAGAGAGAAAGCGTGTGTGTGTGTGTGTGTGTGTGTGTGTGTGTGTGTGTGTGAGAGAGAGAGATAGAGAGAGTGTGAGAGAGAGAAAGTGTGAGAGAGAGTGAAAGTGAGAGAGAGTGAGAGAGCGAAAGTGAGAGAGAGAGAAAGTGAGACAGAGAAAGTGTGTGTGAGAGAGAGAGAAAGTGAGAGAGAGAGTGAAAGTGAGAGAGAGAGAAAGTGAGACAGAGAAAGTGTGTGTGAGAGATAGAGAAAGAGAGAAAGAGAGCGAGAGAAAGATAGAGAGTGAGAGAGAGAAAGAGAGAGAGAGTGAGAGAAAGATAGAGAGTGAGAGAGAGAGAACGTGAGAGAGAGAAAGTGAGATAGAGAAAGAGAGAGAGAGAAAGATAGAGAGTGAGAGAGAGAAAGAGAGAGAGTGAGAGAAAGAGAGAGAGTGAGAGAGAGAGAACTTGAGAGAGAGAAAGTGAGAGAGAGAAAGTGAGAGAGAGAAAGATAGAGAGTGAGAGAGAGAGAAAGTGAGAGTAATATAAATTAATAAACAGATATACTGAATGTGTCAGTTTAAAAACCTATACAAGTATAAAGATAAAAATAAAAGTGTCGCAAAACCATTATAGGTTCATCGTTTCTATTTTCAGATGTGATATGCGAGCAGATGTGGCCATCTGGTAAAATAAAACCGGCGCTGAGTGTTGCAAATCAGGAAAAAAAAAAGAAGACTTGGAGCATAAAGACAGCAATCCGAACGTCAAAGGAAAGTGCAGACCCTAAGATATTTTTTTTATTTTTTTTACTAGTGGTCAGTGTACAATATACATCCCTGCCCCCAATTTTACTCCACCCCATGTATTTTGCACCAGGCTGTGTAAACTAATATTCTTTGATGTAATACATAGTACTTCAACCACCAGTATCCACCAGAAAGGTGTCAGGGAGCTTGGCTCAGCAGACTCAGGCTAATAATAATAAAGGGACCGCCATTCACACCCTTCCTGATCTACCAGCATCAGCTTTGAGAGCTACTGGTAGATCACGATCTACCTAAAAATCCAGAAATAAAATATGCATAAAAACTGCTTTGGACATATGCCGATACCAGTAAGATCCATTTTGTGATGGCATACCTAGCTTAGTTCTCACCCAGGGCAGATTATTACTAATAATTTCTATTTTCAGTTGTGTATAAAAATATATATATATATATATATATATATATATCTATATATGCACACACACACACACACACACATACACTGTATGTATACATATTTTTATAGGTAAATAAATAAATATATGTAATAATGAATATACATTGAAAGCAAAATAATAATAATAATGTATAATAATAATATATAAATATTGTTTTTTTGGGGGGATTTTACAGTTAAAGGACATTTTTGTACATATATTGGGGATTGTATCGGCGGAGTATTTGTTGGCGCTGTCGGTATAAACGCTCTGTCACCGTACGGATATTACAAATCCCCATGGAGGGTACACGGAGGTGTATACAATGAGAGGGGGCTCCCATCTCACCCACACACCTGGCTCCTCTGGTGTTGGGCAGAGAAGTGGGAACACTGGCACTTGGAGCCTGGCGCCGTACCCCTGGTGAGACTGCCAGAACACGCGGGAGAGCCAGAGAACGCTGCCGACGGAGAGATGAAACAGGTCCGAGAGCCAAAATGCAACTTAAGAGAACCTGTCATCAAGAAAAGATAACTGGAACACTCAGCAGTTCCCTAATGACATGAATGAACATTTCTCTGCCTTGCCTGTCCAGATTAATATTTCATTATACGGTGCCGACCATTTACACCGCGTTTTACATACTCTGCATTGACATCCGGCCCCGGACTGCATCAGACATGGGTCCTTAGGCTGTCGGAGCCCAGAGGAGAAGAGGCCATGGGGACCGCTCTAGTAGCCAGGTGGACCAAGGATGGGGATATCTTTTTTTTTCCCCTGGACCAAAACAAACACTTGAAGAAGTACTCCGGGGAAACATTTTTTAACCCTTGCAGTCGGGGGGCTCCCACCACTCTGCAAGGGTTAAGCGCTCATTTTCGTCTAGGTACAAAAATAAAAAAGTTATACTCAATCGTCCAAGCCAGCTGGCTGTTATTCCCTGTTCACACCATAGCACATCAGGAACGTGCATGGCAGTGACGCGCATCCCCGCGCGTTCGCGTACATTTGCTTGACGCATGTCCGTATTGGTTTCAATGAGAGGCTGGACATGCAACAAACGTGGGAAAGTAGTGCATGTAGCAAATTCTGCGACATGCATTCCGTGTTTTTCTTCCCTATGCGTTTTTGTGCATTTTAAAGTGAGGAAAAAAGCACGTTTGCTCGCCTGCGTTTGGGGTGCCACTAACATGTAATGGCACCATAAGCGCATTGTGCTTTTTTACCTGTTCTGCAAACGTGCGTACAAGCTCCTGTTTTTCCTGTGCCGGTGTGAACGTGGGGGATAGTAGTAAAATTAAAGTGACGGTATGCAGACACTGCGCTGGAAATT